CGAAACTACTGAACCGATTTCGATTAAACCTTCACCATTAGACACGTCGTGGTCTGAAACGGTGCCGTTTTTGATGATTTTTTGATTGGTCCACCCTAATTGGTCCAAATCGGTCCAAAACCCCTGAAATCTGTTGCAGACGAGCCCATGCTCCAAAACTACTGGACCGATTTCGATGAAACCTTCACCATTAGACGCGCCGTTGTCTGAAACGGTGCCGTTTTTGATAACTTTTTGATTGGTCCACCCTAAGTGGTCCAAATCGGTCCAAAACCCCTAAAATATGTTGCAGACGAGCCCATGCTCCAAAACTACTGGACCGATTTCGATGAAGCCTTCACCATTAGACGCGCCGTGGTCTGAAACGGTGCAATTCTTTTTATTGGTCCACCCTAAGTGGTCCAAATCGGTTCAAAACCCCTAAAATCTGTTGAAGACGAGCCCTTGCTCCGAAACTACTGGGCCGATTTCGATGAAACCTTCAGCATTCGACGCGCCGTGGTGTAAAACGGTACCGTTTTCGATAATTTTTTATTGGTTCACCCTTAGTGGTCCAAATCGGTCCAAAACCCCTAAAATCTGTTGCAGACGAGCCCATGCTCCGAAACTACTGGACCGATTTGGATGAAACCTTTACCATTAGACGCGCTGTGGTCTGTAACGGTGCCGCTTTTTGATAATTTTTTGATTGGTCCACCCTAAGTGGTCCAAATCGGTTCAAGTACAGCCCAAAAATACGTTTTCACGTAGTCAACCGATGAGCTGGTTTCCGCAGCGCGGAGGTGCCCCAGGCCCAATTAGCATGCATTTTTGCTCTAGTTTGGAAAGCAAAATGCATGACAATGGGTTTGGGGCACCTCTGTGCTGCAGAAATCCATCCGGACTCTGACAAAGTACAAACGGGTTTTAGGCATTTTGGACTGATTTGAACCACTTAGGGTGGACCAATCAAAAAATTATCAAAAACGGCACCGTTTCAGACCACGGCGCGTCTAATGGTGAAGGTTTCATCGAAATCGGTCCAGTAGTTCGGAGCATGGGCTCGTCTGCAACAGATTTTAGGGGTTTTGGACCGATTTGGACCACTTAGGGTGGACCAATAAAAAAATTATCCAAGACGGCACCGTTTCAGACCACGGTGCGTCTAATGGCGAAGGTTTCATCGAAATCGGTCCAGTAGTTTCGGAGCATGGGCTCGTCTGCAACAGATTATAGCGGTTTTGGACTGATTTGGACCACTTAGGATGGACCAATCAAAAAATTATCAAAAACGGCACCGTTTCAGACCACGGCGCGTCTAATGGTGAAGGTTTCATCCAAATCGGTCCAGTAGTTTCGGAGCATGGGCTCGTCTGCAACAGATTTTAGCTGTTTTGGACTGATTTGGACCACTTAGGGTGGACCAATCAAAAAATTGTCAATAACGGCACCGTTACAGACCACGGCGCGTCTAATGGTGAAGGTTTCATCGAAATCGGTCCAGTAGTTTCGGAGCATGGGCTCGTCTGCAACAGATTTTAGCGGTTTTGGACCGATTTGGACCACTTAGGGTGGAACAATAAATTTTTTTTTATCAAAAACGGCACCGTTTCAGACCACGGCGCGTCTAATGGTGAGGGATTCATCGAAATCGGTCGAGTAGTTTCGGAGCATGGGCTCGTCTGCAACAGATTTTAGCGGTTTTGGACCGATTTAGACCACTTAGGGTGGACCAATCAAAAAGTTATCAAAAACGGCACCGTTTCAGACCACGGCGCGTCTAATGGTGAAGGCTTCATCGAAATCGGTCCAGTAGTTTCGGAGCATGGGCTCGTCTGCAACAGATTTTAGCGGTTTTGGACCGATTTGGACCACTTAGGGTGGACCAATCAAAAGGTTATCAATAACGGCACCGTTTCAGACCACGGCGCGTCTAATGGTGAAGGTTTCATCGAAATCGGTTCAGTAGTTTCGGAGCATGGGCTCGTCTGCAACAGATTTTAGGGGTTTTGGACCGATTTGGACCACTTAGGGTGGACCAATCAAAAAATTATCAAAAACGGCACCGTTTCAGACCGCGGCGCGTCTAATGGTGAAGGTTTCATCGAAATCGGTTCAGTAGTTTCGGAGCATGGGCTCGTCTGCTTTTAAGGGGGTGTATGGTTCTGGACCATTTTGGTCCGATTGGTCCAGTCAGAGTGAACCAATCGCCAAAAAACGAAAAACGGCACCTATATAAGTTCCCTGCTATTGAATGGTGAAAGAATTATCAAAATCGGTCCAGTAGTTACTGAGCATGGGCTCGTCTGCTAATCTCGTCTGCTTTTTAGACACTCCCGATAACACGGAACTTTGGCCGCCAGGTGTCACTGTTGGCGTTCCTGCTGATTCAATTTGCGCCGGTGCCGTTCGGAGCCGTGCCTTGCGGTGAAAGTGAGTGAAATATTGAGGAAGTAGTGAGTCACATGTGTCATAATACCTAAATTTGGAAGAAAATAGCCCAGTGTTGTGTCTATGGCTGCTCGGAGAATGGTGGGTTTGTATTTTCTCGCGACAAGAGGCCGAGGAAGATAGGTATGGCTCAGGCTGCAACGGATTTCATCCCACCAAACACTTGATTGTGTGTCGGAAGCATTTCACCGACGATGATTTTTTGGAATATACTGCCTACGGTAAGTTTTTATGGTCATGCGCAGCTTTGTATCTAAGATATACCCTATCATTTGCCACCCGGGGAACTGGGAAGTCACTTACCGGCTACCACCATAAGTATCAAACGAAAAATGGGTCTGCTTTTCATAGAATATTCATGTCCTAAATGCTACAGAGGTCAACAATCATTTAATCTTAGAATTATACAACTACCTTTATTTGTACAAATTATTGCATGCTTCATAGACATCTCACATCAACATCATAGGTAAGGTACGTATACTTCATGATCCATCAAAGTTTAAGGCAAGAAAACACACTTCACAGTGCTATAAACAATGACGTGCATTGTCAAGGGCCAGACAACAGCAGAAGAGGCTGAAGAAGGGGGTTATTCCATCTGTTACTCAGGGCAAAGCACTAGCTTCAACTGCTTCAGCAATTCGTAGGCAGGCTAGGCGCAAGGAAAAGGAACATGGCCAGCTGTTGGACAGCTTGGTCAGTGCAAACAACTAGGTACAGAGCTTAGATGCTGTCCTTTACCTGCAGATAAGATGAATAGGTTTGTGCCTTGTGGCACTATTTATCTATACCGAACTGTTTATCGTTATTGATATTTGAGCAATGGGCAGACGCTGTCAGATCCAGACAGGCTAGGAGATTCTCTGTTTTGTGATTTGGATGGCAGATGTAAGGGGATCACTTCTCAGTTTGTTTTTTTGAAAGTTTGTTTTTTTATTCCACAACCCACAGACAAGTCACAAAAGTATACTTAACTGGGCAAATTGTATGTTCAATCTAAAGTGTTTTCACCTTTTGGCAGATGTTAATTGCTCAGAACCAACCAGTGGTAGTAAAAGATGTGCATAAAGTTTCTGATAATGGGCTATCTCATGCCTTGTCAGGCTGTATTCAGTATGTATGAAGCAGTTAATACAAATTTTATTGTTTTCACAGGTACAAGAACGGGCTCAACAGGCAGAGGAAATGGAGAAGAGTGCTCCACCTCCACCTGACGTTGCTGCTTATGAGGAGTGCGACACTGAAGGGGGGTGTGCTGCATCACTGCGGGGCTATCTGATGGTGCTGTCAATATCAGCACCAGGCAGGGTTCAATGTCCAAGATCTGTTAGCCTGTCGTGATGTACGTGTCATAACACCACCGTTCCTTAAAGTGAAGTCCCAGCTCTCTCCCGCCGAACGCACTCAGTCGCTCGCTATCACGAGGGATCATATCCATGTCGGGCGTATGACTGGTCTGATCAAGACTTACTCGTTTCTTAGTGGGCAAATCGATGCCGGTTACGTGCCTGTTCTTTCAGACATATTCCGTCCTGTGTGTCTCGTCTGTAGCCTGCAGAAATCGCTCATGCAGGTGGCGGGGATGTGTGCGCTCTGGGACGTTAGCATTAGCAGACTGAGCTTCACCGTCTCATGTTTATTGTATACATGCCTACATTTGTGAATGGTGCATTGGAGGGCTACATGTGTATGCTGGTGCACAGTGCATTGCTTGAAAGCTGTATGTTATTTGGTAATCGGTGATAGGTATTGAATGCTTTTGAGTTTTGGAGCTTGCCTTGTCGAAGTGGTTTAGCTAGTAGGTACTCTGCTATGTTTCGATGTCAGTTAAATACACCGCTGTTGACTATCAGACACTGCTTCAAAAGCTATGTGTTGTATTCGCCATCGCGCAGTGACGCTCATAAGTCATGAGTTCATTGGCATGAATAGAAACGAACGAGTACTGTCTGCAGCTGGTTACAGGATACGGGCATGGTCTAAAGGAACTCCTACAGGGTGTAACGAAATTATCCGCACATCTATTTTTCGCCATATCTGTTCGCATAGTTTCTTTTCTGACGTTAGAAGCGAGAATATTGGATGAATACGTGCCTCTGGTTTCGGCTCTCGCCTCGGCAGTGACCTGACCTTGCGATGTGACTCTTGCTCTGAGTAAGAGTCGAGTTACGGAAGGGTTCATTTGGTAGTTTTCTATCAAATGATTGAAAGCTTTGGGTTCATTTGATGGCATGGCGGCATGAGCCTGAAGCTGGTCTGCCAGCAGCTGGACATCAGCAGCAGCCAGTTGCATATCAGCCTGAGGCGCGATAATTGCTGGGACTTGGGTGACCGCGGGCGACCCGGGCGGACGCAGCCCGGGCCGTGTTCCACGGAGCGCTGCCTTGATTTCATACTTGTCACACACTACCCCTATATCTCCAACACTATGGGTAGTGTGCAACAAGTATGAAACCAAAAGCGCCAACAGCGTTGGCAGCGCTCTGTGATACCCGGCCCCGGCCGTGACAGCAAATGGATCGGCAGTAACGCCCTTGCTGCCACCTGGTGGCCATTATTGAAAGCTTTGCTCTGTGCTCTCCCAATCACTGACAACAGCACACCGCCCGGCGAACACTATTAGCCATACGCAGTGTTTTTATATACCTTGTACGCATGTTGGTTATGTTGGTTAGGATGGGTGAGAGTTGAGAGGCGAGGAGGTTATGGGACTTTTATTACATTTTCTCGTTTCAGTTTTGGTTTACGTGCCCTAGTAACCAAATCAACATATCAACATAATCAACATAATGTTAGATAATCAACATATTCTGACCGATGTCTTTTTCTTTTAAATTAATTCTGGACCCTTTGAATGGAAGGATTCACAAATCACGCTCGTTGTGTTGGCCTTGCCCTCTCACTCTACCACCCTTCACACTTCAACTTTGAACCCGGACTGCTATAACATAACCAGGATACATGCTCTCACCACACAGAGCCGAATACTCTACCAGTACCAGCTAAGATTTGGGACTTGCATGTCGTCTCTTCAATATGCATCTAATATTTGAGAGATTTTCACACATAACTGCTAGAACGCATCCTTTTTGACGACGGTTGGGCAAACTAGGCTTCATAGTTCGTAATATTTGTAGGGTTCCGGGATGAATGACAAAAATGGAGGCATTAATAATTTCATTCTGGTGGGTGCAGTCCAAGGGATTTAATGTACGTAGATGCCCCTGTTCATCTCAAATTTTAAAATCTTGATTTTATTTGGCACCTCTATGACCATGATAAAATAGGCATCAAAACAACATTCTTTATCAGTTTATCCCTGATGAAGAATCAGTATGGAAATTGTAATGGGTCGCTAAAAGGTAATTTGCACATAGTGGCATAACCCTCGCCCTGGCAGGGCATTTTTCATAACACGGCCTGGCAGGGGGGGGGTCGATGCGACCCCCCCCCCTCGCGATTGGCTCCTATGGCACCTAGAAACACCAAATTTGGTAGGTAGGTGGGCCCCATGGAGTTCTCGCCCCTGTGCAAATTTGGTTGCTCTAGGTCAATATTTAGGGGGTTTTTGGGGGGTATAAATGTAAAAATTTCGCTAAAAACAGGTCAAAAGTTTTTCGCTTATAACTTTTGATCTGATTAAGATAGAGCAAAAAGAAAAGCACCAGTGAACTCAGCACGTCAAGGCGCGTCGAATGATATACTTTTTAGCTTGCTTAAGTGTACTTAAAGTTTTTCTTAAATTTTAAGTAAACTTAAATTAATAAATGAAGTTAAAGTTAACCAAATTGCATCATATCGCATATCATTCGATTCGGCTGATCACCAGGAACACAATGATACCATTTTAAAGCTCTAGCGTCATTATGTGCCAAGTTATTGGCAAAAACGTCATTTGACCTCAGTTGACCTCATTTGACCTGACCCATGGATAAGTAATCCAAACAAAGAAGCACCAAGTGACCTGCTGTTAAGTACTGTGGTTTCAAAGCACAAAAGTGATAGAACGAAGCGGATATCTCCAGTATTTTCCGAATTTAGTATTTTCCCATAGGCTTAACATTACGACGTAATGACCTCTAACTGACCTCAGGTCACTGACCTCAAAAAACCCGAACTATATGTTATACAACTCGGTGACCTTAGCACATCCTGGAAGTTTGAAGGAAATCAGTGCAAAACTGTGAGTTGGACAGGTGCGAAAAGAAAATTGAAATTTGACCATGACCTTGTACCGGTTTTTCTGACCTGGTGACCTGACCCAAGGTCACCCGGACCTGAAATTTTCAGGTCATATGCAAAAAGGTTGCCCCATAGGCTGTGCCAAATTTGGCGGCGCTGCGCGCCGCCGTTTTTACGCTATCTTCGAAAAACCTTAGGGGGGGGGGGGTCGCATCGACCCCCCCCCCCCTGCCAGGGCGAGGGATAAAATGTTACAGCTTAGTTGTGCCTTGTCTAGTATCTGGAAACCTCAATAAGGAAAAAATGTTACACAAGTCATCAGTCAGAAGTAGTATGCGCACCAATCCTAGATGCATTCAGCATTGCTACTGCCTAAACCCTATTATGACAATTATTTCTCAACTGTATCTCTTCTTTCAGCTCCAGCTTGTGAACTTTTATCTAGTTCTGGGTGCTGAACATAATTTGTTTATTAAGTGGGCCTTGCATAAGTGAATTGCAGCAGTGGTATGAAGTCGCCTCAGCTGCTGAAGCAGGGTGCCGAGGCGCGCCTGTACCGCACCACCTTTTGCGGCCGGCCTGCCATCGTCAAAGAGCGCTTCAAGAAGACGTACCGCCACCCGGAGCTGGACGACGCCATCACCAACGACCGCATCAAGGCAGAGGCTCGGGCTCTGGTGCGCTGCTGCAAACTTGGTGAGATCAAATGACAGTTGCTGTTGGGCTCAGGAAACAGAACTTCGACAGTTTTCGACAAACCGGCACGATGTTCAGGAACGGATAGGGCTGCGCCACGGAAAAGCCCATTCGATAGCTCTTTTAACCCGCGCCGGGCCGGTGCTCTGAGAATCCGCGCCGGGCCGGGGGGGGGGGTGTCTGAACACACACACCCCTTCTAACTCGGCTCCTGGGCCACGTAGCGACACGCGGTAAGCGGCAATCGAAAGAACGTCCAAAATAAAGACGAAAACACTTCGGTCATTTTTTGGGTCAGGTCAAAGGTCAGGTCACCAGAGGTCACCAAAGGTAAAATGTTGACTATTTCAACATTTTGGAAACTGCCGACGGCTATCTCGGGAACTGATAGAGCTACGGCGCCGCGGAAAAGCGCATTCGATAGCCCTTTTACAGACCTTTCTGAGTAATGTTCTCAGATTTGACCTTAGGTCAACGGTTTAGCCTCCAGAGGACAAAAACTCCAAAAATAGCCGTTTTTACGAAAAGCGTTTTTTCGGCAATAACTTTTGACTCAAAGGAGCCATGACAATACTTTTGCCAGCATCGTGTTCCTCTCGTCGAGACGCGTCGAATGAACTATAATTTGACCTTGAAAGGTCAACTTGAAAATTTGACCTCAGGTCAAGGTCAACCTGACCGGAAAAGGTCATGTTGCATATCAGTCGATCCGCAACGTCGAGCCAAACACATCTAAGGCGTTTTCAGGCGCTCTAGCACGCCTCTATCAGAAGTTATCATCGAAAAACTATTAGTTTCTGTTTCTAGTTTCTATTAGTTTCTAAAACTAATAACTATTAGTTTCTGTAGATTCTGTTCGTGACCTGAGATGACCTCGGGGACATAACGAGGGGTCACAGTTGCCATTTTCCGGTTCAGTTTGTCAATCTTACCTATATTTCGATGTTTGAGAGTGTCTAGAATAGCGTTCGTGCAAAACAGACGCCTTTCAATTTTCTCCCATCGACTTATAATGGATCGAGGTCGCAAAATCAACCTAACCTTAGGTCACCGATATCGAAATTCCGAGACATAAATTTTATAGATCATGTTGCTCTAATCAAGCGCTGAAAGTTTCAAGGCAATCGATCGATCGGTTGGTTTAGCTATGCCTAGCATTCTTATTTTTTCTGAGGTGAGGTCACTTGGCGTGATCTGGTGACCTGACCTAAGGCGACCTGGGTCTGAAATTTTCACAACATGTGCGGAAAAGATGCACGAACAGGTGTGCCGCCGTTTTTGAGATATCTGCGAAAAACCGCAGGGGGGGGGGGGTGTTCAAACACCCCCCCCCCCCCGGCCCGGCGCGGGTTAACGCTCTTTCTGTAGAATTTCCTCTGAATTGATGTAAGGTCAATGGCTTAGCCTGCTAAGTGCTAGGGTCAAAAACTGTCAATATAGACATTTTTTGTGGATTTTTTTGCAATATTTTTTTACTCAAAACTTGCACGATCTTACTTATACCAGCATCGTGTTCCTCTGTCGAGACACATCGAATGAACTATCATTTGACATTGAAATGTCAACTTGAAACTTTTACCTCAGGTCAACGTTATGACCTGAGGCCTGTTTCACTAACAAATCTGGCCTGTTTCACTTCACTAACACTGATCGGAAAAAGGTCCTGTTGCATATGATATCAGCCGATCCGTATCATCGAGCTGAACACGTCGCGTCTTAATTGCTTCGTCGCTCTAGCACGCCTCAAACAAAGCCTATTAGCTAAAAATTATTAGATACCATTTGCGACCAGATGACCTCAGGGACATGAGTAGTTGTCACGGGTGCCATTTTCCGGTTCAGAGTGTCATGCTTACTTGTTATTCGGTGTTTAAGGGTGTTTGGAATGACGTTCGTCCAAAGGATGCGCTTTTCAATTTTCTCCTATTGAATTGTAATGGAGAGGGCGAAAAATTGACCTGACCTTAGGTCACCAATGTCAAAATTCCGAGACATAGGTACATGTGCACACTGTTGCTCTTATCCATTTACTGAAAGTTTCAAAGCGATGGTCATGTTATGCTAATTTTAGGCTTTATAGACACATACCTACACTCTTCGTGACCGGCGGCGCCCGTTTCTCCGTTCCCACGTGCAGGGGTGCGGGCGCCGGTGGTGTACCAGGTGGACCTGCCGCGGCGCCGGATCGTGATGCAGGACCTGCCCGAGTGCAGCACGGTGCGTGAGGCCATCTGCCGGCTGTCGGCCGCGCAGGGCGCCGACTGCGAGCCGTTGCTGGCGCTGGCCGGCCGGCTGGGCCGGCTGCTGGCCACGCTGCACGCGGCCGGCCTGGTGCACGGCGACCTGACCACCTCCAACCTGCTGGTGGACGACCAGCTGGAGCACATCACCGTCATCGACTTCGGCCTGAGTGTGGCCGACGGCGGCGCCGAGGAGCTGGCCGTCGACCTGTACGTGCTGGAGCGGGCGGTGCTCAGCACCCACCCGCAGTCGGGACCGTTCACCGAGCACGTGTACACCGCCTACGAGCAGCAGTGGAGTGGCGCCCGGGCCGTGCTCGACAAACTCCACCAGGTGCGCATGCGCGGCAGAAAACGACTCATGCTCGGATGAGTGGCGTGTGACGTTCGTGGATGTTTTCTATGTGGCATTGTTGTACGTGGGGATTACGCCCAAGCCATTGTTTCGTCGTTTTGTCGTGAACTGACATGTTCGTCGTCGATTTGCCATTCGGCTCGCTCCCTGTGGCGTCTTGCAAGAGTTCTGCATTGTACGTAGGTCTGATATGTAACGTCACCTATGCAGAGTGTCACAGGTCATGAGAATACCGGCATATTTTGACAATAATGGTCTCGACTTTGATATTACGTCGATATAAATTACCCGAACAATACCGTAAGTAATAATGGAATATTTAAAACCCTCGTATTCGCCGTTTCGATAGTGAAGTGCATCACATGTGGCATCTATTTAATGAAAGTGAATAAAGGCATCCGAATTCAACGAATCTTTCTTTAGATCTTGTCAGTTTTTGCGATGTGATATTTGACGGCCAGGTGCTTTTGATTTGACATCGTTCAGCCATTCCATTTTGCTTTTTTTTTGCAATCATTTTCGGCTGGTCAAATGGAACAGCAGGTCATCGGCTTACATGGCCTAACCGTTCAAGTTGACTTCTTTTTGTGGAAAATATTGCTCTGCAATAATGTATTGACGAGAATATGTGCGAAATTTATTACACAATGCGCTGTTTGGATCAACTTTTGATGTGACGCATCACGTATTTGTTGGACAACAGACAATACAACTAATTACTGAACTAACACTGGTTCGGTTTGCCCTCACGCCCGCCTTCGGTTTACCCCCCGCCCGTCCCCTCCCAGTGTAGCCCCGCATCAGCCTGCCACAACAACAGCCCGGGGAGCACGAGAGACGCGCGGCGATCTCCGGTAACAGGAGTGCCTCTCCGGTGGCGAGGCGCCGCCTGTCGCTCGGCGGGTTCACGTTTCAGCCTGAGACAGCGGGTCGGTGCTGCGTGGGGGTTGGGTCGGGGAGAGGGAGTGATCAGTTGACACCCGGCGTTGTTCGCGCCTGGAGCGCCAGTGCTGTCCGGGGCAGAGTGTTCCGAAGTGGTGTTTGTGTTGGAGCGGCAGTCAGTGAGCGGCTGGTTTTCCGCACTGAGGCCAGGGCCATGGACTGGCTGGGTCGGGAGATGGACCGCCTGTTTGGCTCGGAACCGGAACCGGAAATGGTCTCACCCGGGCTGAGACGCGGCGGGAGCCTCGGCGACACACCGTCGGCCTCTTTCCAGCGACAAGGTATGGTCGTCTACATTAATTCTATGTTACCTGATGTTGTAAGCCGGTAGGTTATATTTAAAGGGACCCTCCCACCTTCAAAAAAGTTAATGAATTGGCATGAAAGTGATGTCGCTCGGTTCAGAAAGAGCAAAAACGAATATCTACCAAATTTTATCGAAAAATATTCACCGGTTTTCAAGATATTAGACTTTTACTTTTGTTTACTTTTTGGGATCTCCGCTGTTCCTAGCGACTTTATTTGAAAGTGCGGCATTTGTTGCGCGCAAAGCAGCATATACCACCGCGTGCTACAAAACGTTTTAGTCAAACATTTAACGGACGTTCGAAAGCCTGATGACGTCATCAGATTCCCGTAATGGTTAAGAGATAGGGACCACGCTGGTCCCACCCTGCAAGTAAAGGGAAGAAATTTCTTGAACACCATAAAGCTGCGGGGGTTGCGACCAGGATAAATGGTGGTTTCTGAGCCTGGCCGCAAACTTGGCTATCTCAACTCAAAACTAATGTTAAGGTGGGAGGGTCCCTTTAAGCCATGTCAATGTTACTGTTTCGCGAAATGTTCACCTACTTAAAGGTAGTGTGCCAGCTTTCTTGGACCGTATGGAGTTAATGGCCCAGATAAGGAGAACCGGATTTTTAGAACTTATCCATACCTTCAAAACTCATGGAAACGTCTTAAATTCTTCAAATTTTGAGTACCCCAGTGCGAAATTCGCCCCGACGGGTTGTCGGTCGTACCCCAACCACATTTCACACCACTATGAACAATAAATGCACACACTGAAATCGCTATTACCGATATGCTCATCCAATCAAGTTTCGATAAACCCGTTCATCATCATCTCCTGCGGTTTCGAACACGCCTGTTAGGTGGCTTCTGATGCTCGTCGGCATATTTACGTCTGGACAACGAGTTGCGGGGAAAAGTGCTGATTTTGTTGCAGTTTTAGGAGCCGGTGATTAGGCTGGATTTTTGGGTTACTTTTTCGTTCCGATTCATGTATTTCATAGTGTTTGGCTTTTGAATATTTTAGTTCTTTCAGATAAATATTACCTGCCTTACAACTTTTGTAAAAACGTTTCATTTTTTTATAAGCCGACGTTCAGAGTCCTAAAAATACATCAGCACTACGATCATTGTAAACAAACAAATGGAGCACCACGTCTTGGCTCTGTTCCAAGGCCATTTTTTAGTTTATCTGGTGGTTTTCTTACTCTTGTACGTCGTTTTGTTGGATGTTTTGAATATTGACTTATATCATATTTAAGAAGCATGTTGACTGAAAACAATCCGAAGTATCCAGGAGGCTGACAGAGGTCCTGACTCCTGAGCAATATCAATATCAAGTTGAACAAGTTATGAAATTTTGGTTGATAAACGCAAGGTGGTCGGGCTCATATATCAGCGACAGCAAGAAAAAGTAAAATTAAAAGAGCTTATTGGCCAAAAACAAGCTATAATATTGCAGACCTTGGAGCAATGCCTACTGAAGAGCACGCTGAGCAGGATCATGCCAGAAAATGTTGACAAATGACAGATGAGTGCATATTGATGTATTGGTATGGATATTGAATGATAACTTACAACAGCAAGATAAATTAGTGCTAACTTTCAAGTTAAAAATCTAGAATGAATGGACTTGGGCAGCTTAGATGCTTCATGCTATGCAGATTGTAATGTGCATCAGGTACTCAGTGTCTGGCAAATGAAACATGCGATCATCATTCCATTGCTACTGGAGGAGAAAGCTTGGATCACTAAATCCACTTTATCTTGATTTTGATGTTAATCATCACTGTATTTCTTGAAAAAAGGATTGTAGTAGAATTGTCAATGTGACAATCCATGCAACGATGTGATCATATAATGTGTTCAGTCATTCGTGATAGTGATTATTGGTCCAATATACAATGGCAAAGCTCTCAGTCTCAGCGTTTCTTCCTGCGGATGGCCAGCAGTGACTCAGAGCTTAGAAGTTTTAATTTTCTTCACAGGGCTGGGATAAAAAGTACTGAGGGTAATCTTCCACCAAGGAACTCTACTTTGACATGGTATGAGATGTAGGCAGAAGTAGGTAGGTGCTTAGTTCCTATAGTCAGTAGTTGTGTATGTTTAGTCGGGCTAGCTCAGATGAGATTGTTAGTTTTTTTAATTTGCCAAGTGTCCATAAAAATGTGACCTGAGCAATGAGCATTCTCCTTGACTAACCTGACAGCTGACCTAAACTCAATCATCACACATATTTGCAGCCTACCCAAGACCTGCATAGCAGTAGCACCCAGTTATAGGTAGGACTAGGTACTCACCCTAACATAATCTTACCTGCTAACCTTCAACTTGCCAAAAGTTAGCTCACATTGCCAAGCTGCATCCAGGGAAACAGTCAACTGAGGAACTGGCTCATTGGGTGGCTGGTGTGAGTCTGTGCATTTAAAGTGTTTCTTCTCTGAAGCTGCTCTGCACTGCTGTATGTCATGTTAGATGCTCAGAAAATGTGGGAAATGATTACTAAGCTACTTTAGTGCTTTGTTAATGCTCGAGACATGAACAAGTACAGATCCTGCAGGGTACAGCTATGAGTTAGGTGCTAGGTGACTGGTGAGTATGTTATGTGAATGTGCTGTTCCCTGTTTGACCATAGTAAGTATACAAACAAGCACAGGGTCACAGTTATATTCAATCTCCACATAAACATACAACAAAAACGGCCATATGGCCTAACTCCGAACACACCACAGATAACTTGAGCCTTTGCAGGCACAGAAATGTTTTGATTAACAGGACAGGTATACAATATATCCTCTGTCTTCGGGGGATCTTGCTGCCAAGTTGAGGTACGATGACTTAACTTCAGGATTGATCAACCTTTTCTTAGCCACTGCTTATATACGAGAAAGACCAAATGCTTGTTTGTTTTGATTTACAGGACATGTAAACAATATATCCTCTGTCCTTGGGGGATCTTGCTGCCAAGTTGAGGTACGATGACTGAACTTCAGGATTGATCAACCTTTTCTTAGCCACTGCTTATATCAATATACGCGAAAGACCAAATGCTTGTTTGTAAACTGCGTTGAAAATTTAATGATCCACCTTCAATTCTGACATGAAGGCACAAATGAAATAGTTCCCCCTCCTTTTGGAATACACAAAGCAAAATATTTAATAAATTTTAGTGGATTTAGTGGATTTTAAGTGTTAGTGGATGGAGTGGATGGACTGGCACTGATGAATTACACTGACGCTTATTCGCTTCATATTTTGTAACAAACGCGCTAAAACTGCAATATAACAGCACTATATGCTTCTTGACAAAATGCAATAGTATTAAAAATTCATGCCTTCATGCCTGATGGCATTCATTCTTGGTGGAAACGTAATTACAAAATATTTTGTAGTAAGTATTAAATTCCCGCCGAAAACAGTGCACGGTTTAAAAAAGAATCATTCCAATGACGGTCCATTCTTGCGGTCCTGAAATCGCCACTATTTCCGGCCTCTCCAACGCAACTCGTTGTCCAGACGTAAATATGCTGCTCGTCGAGGTCGGAATTTCCAAATACGCGTGGTGCGTCGGGCCGCGCGCTCTGACTTCGGCCAAGAAAAATGCGTCAGCTGATCATTGTCATTTCTGCCACTTGCGTGTGGTGAAATGGGGTCATAACTTATAAGACGGCTTTTTCATATCAATTATTTTACATAAAATCATATTTCAAACCATAAATAATGTTCGACAGCCAAATAAAAGAAACAATACCAATACGGGCTTACAGTTTAAGGCTCGACATTGTGTTGTCTACGATTAGACAGCTGATAACTCATTCCCGTACAGCCCTCAGCAGACTGCGTGGTAGGTATTCTTTTTTCGTTAATACCGATAATAACTCAAAGGCTATGCTATCAATCGGTCGGAACTCACTACAGATAGATGCGCCATGCTCCACTCCTTCGATTAGGTCTATCACTAAACAAAGTATGTGCCTTGTGTGGCAACAAAATGCAAAAGTTTGTTTTGGGGGCAAATATAAACTTTTGGGTTTTGTTGCCGAACTAGATGGAAAATGAATACGGTTATGATGCCAATTTAAGGTGCGGAGTCTCGCGCGTCTTGCTGTCACGATTTCCGAATGACCAATAGCATAGTATTCGCGTTATTGTCGTTTTTGTCGAAAAAAGAATACCTACCACACAGTTTGCAGAGGGCTGTACGTCGTATGGTCGTAACACTATAATGACCTTTGCTTATTGTCACAAGTGCGCCGCATTCGCGATTGTTGCCCGACGCCTGTTTGCAGGTGAGCCCACTACAGTTGTTATACATATCTAAAAACCGAAAAACTTTTAGGCGAAAAAGGCACTATTCCAGGCCCATTTTTGATTTTTTTTTTGCGATATTAGGTAAAAACAGAAGCTTCTTATCCTAGGAAAAATAAAATGGGAAATCTTTCAAAGGTGGCACACTACCTTTAATACTTCCTCATATCATATTCGTCAGAAATTGAAAGTTGAAACGACCGTCGGAGAACAGCCATTTGTAACAACGGCCATTTGTACACTACCGGTTTCTGCGGGCGTCGTCTAACGTCAACTCGTTGGACGCTTGAGCCTGACGGCTACGCGCCCTAACCCACGAAGAAGAAGAAGAAGAAGTCTAACGTCAACTCAAACTAACGTTTTACCCGTCGGAGCATCGTCGTACCCTAATGGGGATGTTCGCGCTAAGAGTTCCGAAAAGTCTCGCCAGGTGGCAGCACGGTATGCTTTGGACACAACGCGCCGGCCGGGCGCCGGGCGGGCCGGGGATAACACTGCGGGCGGCGACGGCGGCCGACGCGCCGCGAACGGAAACTGCGTTTCATGTCTTTTTCAGGTTCATCATTTTGCTAAAATGAGTAGCTACAGTTGATTTCGATAATAGGAAGACAATGACGCGTGTGAAAGGCAAACTACTACATCGTCATTGAGCGGAAGGAAAGGGAGCTGATCGAATGGTCACCAAAAGCTACGGAGTACGAAAGATACGATGTTATCACATATTTTAACTTACACAGTTGAAATTAAAAACCTTATTACATTCAGACATATATTCACACGCATGAAACAATCGATTTACAGCACACATTCCATGACAAGAACGCATACCTACGGTCTTAAGTTGACCTCTAGCGCTCGTCACTGTCAGATAAGTCAATCACATCCCTGTAGTTTGTACAGATTATTGACTTAACCCTTCATCCGGCATGCGTTCATTCTGTAATGATGGGCAACGAATCACCGGCGATTTCTGCGTGGCTCTATATGACATCCTCGTCCGTTCCCCAGGTCAATTGGTTCGGTGACTTTCAAATTATAATAGCAGGCCCTTCCTCGGTCAGGCTTGATGGATCCACCGTCACTTTGCGCGGTACTTTAAAGGCAGACTGTACCTTCTACCAACACGACTGACTGATTACAATCTGATGCGAAAGGGACAATATCTCGTCGGTCTATCAGTCAAAGTTTAATATTCAGCGACACAAGTGTGAAGGCTGCCTGGAAAACTTGCAACGAACTAAGTAAACTAAGCTTGGCTTGTAATGGGCACAAACTTGTAATAAAGAGGTACTTAATTAACAAATCCACAATGTTCTGTTCAGGCAAGTATCCTTCACATATGAAGCATTGCTATGACGACAGCTCTTCTAGAGCTGATTGATAGCTTTTGAAGGAAGCAGCTGAGTGGCTGAGCCCTACCATTCACCACTTATCACCTATGCAGTTCTCTATCACTAGAAAATATCTGCCAATTTGCTGGCTCTCATTTGTGTATGATGCAACACGCTTTGCATCAGTGATACTACGACACGAAATGTTGAACACTAGCATAGGTTGCAATGTAGATCCGAGGTGTCCCAGAAGCCAGAGCAAAACAAAATTGACACCTTAATCAACTTCATGATTGTGGCAAAACTCCACTGCTTGACTACACAGAGTACCAACTGTTTGCTCCTCTAAACTTTCACCGAAGGAAGTGTTGCTGATGTCATTTGTAGCAGCAGTGACACTGGTAGGTAACTTCAAATCACAGGATCTGGTAGCATCCATGCTCTTGAATCTGGATCTTATCAATGCAGCATTGCACCTGTGGATAAATGAAAAATGGCATAAGACAGTAGGGAAAGATCTTGGCAAGTCATAATGAGATACATATGTTTCACATGCATGGATAAAAGGACATTATATACTGAAGCAATTAGCAAAACATTGCAGTTTAAACACAGTTGAAATCTGATATGATGAACTGGATACAGTGACATCATCAAGACCCATGAAAAGTATTTGCAATTTTGAAATGCACTTTTATTGCAGTTACATATACAAATATTTTAGGTGAAAATTTATTTTTAAAAACAACAAAAAACTTGCCCGTATTTAGTTGCTAAAAAAGCTGAGTGAATATTCTAAAATATTGTTCACTTCAGTGTGAATCAAAACTTAGAGTAAACAATTATTTACCTGATGAAATTAAGATATTATATCAATAATGAGTAGCTTTAGGTGGTGATGAGTTAAAAAAAAAAACATTTTGCAAGAAAGGCTATCAGTTACTTCTGGATGATATACTGCAGTGCACAAGCTGTTCACCAACTCCTACCTGGTCTTTCAGTGGGATCCCTCTGTATGCACCTCAGATCTTCATCCACAGGGCTGGTTCCTTCATACGCAGGTCCTCTGCCTTCCTTGATTCCTCGGACTCCATCCTGACAACTCCGCACCAGAAGCATGATTGCACTGGGCACCTGGAACACCATGTGGGATGATCAATACTTGTAACAATTCATAAATGGTAGGTAGCTTAGTGTTCTATTACATATACCTCCTGGTTACTGGTGTCAAAATAGATCCTATTTGTCTTTTACCATCATAACCTTTATTTGCATGCAATATCTTTGATATCAGACAAAAGAACACTGCTAAAATGCTTGCAATGAATCTTATAAAAATGCATTGAATTTATACCATCATTCTCAGCAGCATGTATCATTGTATCATCTTTTAATGCCTTTCTCAAAGGGCAGGTCAACTTCCTATATTGATATGCCCATAAACTTACACAGGTGTGAGGTGAATTACCTCATATGGGCCATACAAGATCCAGCTATGAGTTAAGTTAGACTATTTTATACTCTTAATTATGCTCGCCATAAAAAAATGTCGGGAAACGTGTTACATCGATGGAATTACCGTTTGGAGTCGGTCTATCTTCGGCTTCTCGCCTCTCTTCGGCTACGTCAATTGAAGCCTTTCTAAGTCTCCTGTCCTTTGTAAACTTGCCTTTCCATGTTTGTGACACTTGCTGAATATAAATTCACAACCCATCTGAGCAAAATTCAAATCAATTGCTATCAAATTCACCGAAATTCAGTCCCTCGGACCGACACCGCGCACCGACTCCACAAGTGTAAAGCACAGTGGCGCATTCGCCGCCACAGTTTCTGTGTCCAAAGAAGGCAGTGCTGCCACCTGGTGAGGAAATAAGCCGAACATCCCCATTAGGGTGTGTCACTAGAAACAGATCAAGCGCTTCCGCTGATTTTCCTTGTCCCTGTGTCTATGGAAGCCCATTAGTGCAGTTCTTTTTCCCATGCATCGAAAATTCGATCGGCGCCAGCTGAAAGAAGTTCGGGATTTATCTTGGCGCCCGGCGTTGCAGTCTCCATGTTTGGCGTAATGCGTTTGATGACACTAACACCAGCCGCGCGCGTCTTCGCCTGTTAGCGTCGACAGACGCTGTCAATACGGATGTAAGCAATGCAAACGAGGCGGTCTCCTCTATTTAGACAACGGCTTCACAGAAAAGATGCATCTTTGCCATTCAATAGCAAACTGAATTCAACTCAATTAGCATTTGCCTACCTTACATGGTTCAGGGGACCGATTTTCTTGCATGCCTCCTTTGCGGAGATGTTGCCCGTCCGCACGGCTCTGGTGAGCTGATACAGCAGGAGTTTGCCGCTGCTGAGGTCGGCGATGATGTTGTCCGGCAGATCCAGCTCTGGGCCGCTCACCGGTGGGAACTTCACGGGAGAAAGACGGTGCACGGAGGCGCCGGCTCCCTTGCCCAACGGCCCCGTGAATGATCCGGGTCCACTGGTTTTGCCGTCCAAGTTCTGGAAAACTTCCCTGAGTACAAGCTCATTCGAGTGCAGCTGGCAGCTTGTCTCATCCGGCATCTTTCTCTCCATACTTTTTTCGGGTCGACCAGCAATTCTGTTTCGCCGCTCGCTACGCGACCGACATCCATCTAAAAACCATTGATGACGGCCCCTACAGCACGGTTGGATAAACCATACCTGTCAGTCAGCTGCCAGTGCAGTGTTTGTCATATCATCATCGTTTGAGTCTTTGATGCATTCCTTCATCTCAAATTCACTTGTGAAGTCTTCATTACTGTCGTTGGTGTCGGTCGTTGCCGACGAGTCTACCTGGCCTGTCTCGTCGATATTGACGCCGTTGGAATAGGTACGGAGGTGGGAAGGACCAGCTTGACCCACGTCGCCCCTCCCCTCGTTCCGCTCCCGTCTCATTCTAAGGCTCGCAGTCTTACGTCGTTTCCTCGTCTCCTCGTAGTCCACACCAACCAGTCTCATCTTCCAAACTCCTCTCTGGTCTCGAAGGAATGCTATTTCCGCTGGCGGTACCCGGTTTGAAAGCGGACAGGTAAAGCTTCGCCGATCTTTACAGCGGCAGCGGGCGATGTCAAAAAGCTTACGAAACAGACTCGCTTCAGAAACACTTTGTTTCGTTTGTCTCTCCCACATTCTTTCGGACACCTTGTTCGATCGGCGAAATCTTTCGTAAACTTGCTTTACCTTCCGAACCACATTGTGCATTTGTATCGTTGGTAATGTATGCCCTCACTCAACCACATTGCAACCACCACTTCCGCTGCTTCACGTAAACATGCAGTGACTGTCTGCTCTCTTTTTCTATTCTCTGCCAAGAGTCTCACATAGTTCACTACATCTCTGTTGGTAGGCAGATGATTTACCCGCAGCACACTGGGAGACCCGATAACAAAATGTTTCGCCTTGCTTCACCACGGCATCACTGCGGCACGGATAGTCCGATTCGATTGCGCCACACGCACTTCTGCTCACGCTGCAGCTGAAACCAGACTGACTCACGTTCTTTGCAAGCTCGTGTGTCTCAGGGAGACAGCACATGACTCGAAAGCCGACACGTTGTGTTGCCGACGGAGGGGTGATACCCGAGACCCCGCTCACGTTGCCCTCTGTCCATCCGTGCTCTCATTCTCCCTGCCCCACTCGTGATAGTCTTGCCAAGGCTGCAGCGTGATCCTATTTAATACAGTAGCGGCGGAACACCTTCAATTAAGGGGGGGGGGGAGCACTGCCGACTTTTGGTCCCATTCTTTCCATGCAACGCCCATAGGGCTAATGTTAAGATACCAAAATCAAAGGTGCCCTCCCCGTTCCGCCGCCTATGTCCTATTATATGGATCATCTGTGGGTCCCTGAATGGCCTTAACACATTAAGATAGCAGTATGTTTCGTCCGACGTCCACTTAAACAAGAAATAGCAATCGAATTTTAACCGTCAAACGGTGTTGGCCGCTACAGGCCGACGGCGAGTCATATGGCTGGTGTTAGCGCTACGGTACGCATTGTGTTCAGTATGGAGACTTCAACGCCGGGCGCCACGGGAAATATCGAAATTGATTGGGCCCGCGCCGCCTGAATTTTCGGTGCAGCGAAAAAAGAACAGTGCCAATGGGCTTCAATGAACCCAGGGACAAGGAATATCTGCGGAAGCGCTTGATCTGAGACAAAAATATTTGATATGACACACCCTAATCCCCATTATCTATACCTACCTAGGAATCTTGACCCGAAATTAAAGGGACCCTCCCACCTTCAAAAAAGTTTATGAATTGGCATGGAAGTGATGTCGCTCGGTTCAGAAAGAGCGAAAACGAATATCTACCAAATTTCACCGAAAAATATTCACCGGTTTTCAAGATATTAGACTTTTACTTTTGTTTACTTTTTGGGATCTCCGCTGTTCCTAGCGACTTTATTTGAAAGTGCGGCATTTGTTGCGCGCAAAGCAGCATATACCACCGCGTGCTACCAAACGTTTTAGTAAAAGATTTAAAAATCGTTAGATCTCCGCTGACGTCACAAATTCTAAGGGGGCATACCAATGCACTAGCCCCTTAGAATCCGAAAACTGCAAGTTTGAAATTCCATATCTCCGAATTAAAGCATTTGTCGATGTTGTGAGTGCCCAAACCGGTATTTGCAGGCCATGGCCACCAATTTGGCTATCTCAACTCAAAACTAATGTTAAGGTGGGAGTGTCCCTTTAACTAACCCTGGCTAGCCGTCCGAGGGGGGAGAGTGCCCCCTCAGGTTTTTCGCGACAGCTCGGAACATGCTGCATGCAGATGATAGAAAGGGCAGAAACATGGCATACCTGACCTTTGATTCAAGGCGGATCTTTTGACACCAACCGCATTTTTAGGTCAGGTCAGGTCACAGTAGCGGCGGAACACCTTCAATAAAGGGTGTGGGGGGGCACTGCCGACTTTTGATCCCATTCTTTCCATGCAACGCCCATGAACTAATGTTAAAATGCCAAAATCAAAGGGGAGCACAGTGCCCCGGCGCCCTCCCCGTTCCGCCGCACTATGTTTTAACTCGGGACCAAAACTGGCCAGGGCTCATAACTAAGAAACTATATGAGATACAGACATGTTTTTGGGCTCAAACGAAACGTTGGAGACTACCGATCATTTAAAGGGCAAAATGTGTCGGACCAGATGCTTATGTACTTGTTTATGACGTCAGAAGTGTCACGAAACATATAAAAATATTGTCATGTTCTAGCTATGAATGCACGAACATTTAGGTATCTGTAAATTTAGAGTAATCGCAAGTCTGAGCAAGGCTCATCGACGAGGCAAGTCAAGTTTGAGGACATGACCTTGTTAATTAGCGTTGATGACCTCAGGTGACCTTGAATACTCTAATAGGTATAGGACTTATTCATATATGTAGGACCTACAATCTTTATATTTATTTCAAAAACATTTCCAAACGTATATTTTGATATCAACTTGATTATAACCCGGTCTCCACTTTAGTAAGTCCAGAGTCTTGTATGTTTTACGTCACATGACTCACGGGCAGATCCAGCTAATCCGTTTGGAGAGGGCAGAAGTTTCCGACCCATTCGGTGACCCCGACCCACCGCCGCGCCGGTGACTTTACAACGCTTCACTACGTCTGCAATATGAATGCGTGCAGTTCAGGGAGTTCCATCTGTTATCAGCATACCGAGTTAAATAATGAGCAGCGAGCGGTCAGCTCCATCCCTCAGAATGGTTGTGACGGAAAGACCTGCTTTTCGTCCAGATAGGCATCGACGCCGTATTATAGGTAGGTATTTATCATCACCAAAAGCTTTGGGAGCGACAAACGGATAGTTTTGCCCACACGATTCAGCTATGGGGAGGGCAAATACCCACTATGCCCTTCACTGGATCCGCCATGGCATGACGTGAAATGGTAGAATGTATCCCAAACATCTTACCAATTCCTATTGTATGGTGCGTTATGTACCATGCAATGGCACGTAAAAGCACTTCATTGCCATATACTCGTATTACTGCAGCAATTAGCAAACGGACACTTTTTCATAAAGGTGGACACTGGACAGCACTAATGATACCATACCACCTACATCGAACGTATTAATACTGACTGAAGAGGCCGATAGTAACCCTGCCGAACGCAAACAGGTGATGGACGATCAAAAGCCGATCATCGTGATCAGCGATGCGTGCTGTGGCAGGTCTCATACAGTCACCTTTCAGTTCACAGTCCCATCTCAAACTGGGCACAATGAATATTTAATTGCGCTCCATCAGGTACTAAAATATGTTTATAAACTACCAAGCAAGCATGAGAAGCGACCATACAGCTCCAGAGCCCATCTATGAATTTGCTGCAATAGCCATGGGGTGGAAAGTTCCTGTTATAGACCAGGTACTATATATAAGTATACACAATTAATTACACCGATAATAATGTTAATATTCAGTGGCGGATCCAGGGGAGGGCAAAATGGGCATTTGCCCTCCCCAAAGCTAAATCATGTGGGCAAGACTGTCGTTTTGCCCCTCCCAAAGCATATAGAGATGATAAAATTGAATACGGCGTCGAGGACTATCTGGACGAAAAGCAGGACTTTCGGTGACGGCCATTCCGAAGGAAGGAGCTGGACGCTCGCTGCTGATGATTTATGCCAGAATGCTGTTAATAGATCGAACTCCCTGAACTGATTGCATGTAGATAGTGTGGCGTTGTAAAGTCGTTTGGTCACCTCGGTGCTCAAGGGCAGCGGAAATCCGGATAGAGGGTGCAGAGGTTTCAGCTCCAGACCCATGGAAAACATTG